TGTGAATCCTAAGCACATCTGATGAAAAAGTAAACATGTTGACACCACCTTACACTGTGTACAGGTCTCACCCTTCACCCTAGGTTAGCCAACTCTCCTCCAGAGGGAACGATTTGTACCTCAGTACAGTGTTCATTTTATGACACCAAATTCATAACAACATGAACCAAGAACTGCAAACACGTATGCACATGCCTAGTGTTTACTCTCGTATTGAGCTACATTATCATAATCAAGCTCACAATCAGCTTCAGTGCACGTTGTTCAAAGAAATGCATACATACACCAGTAAATGCATATAAACACACATACAAATATACATTTATAGATTATGCACTTAAAAAGTGGCACTTAAACATCACTGACAAATTTCATTTTGTTTTTCAAGATGAAATAAAAGGTCTTTTTAGAATAGTGTTTACTGCAGTCTCACATTTTGCCATTTAAATGCCAGTAACAGCATCTCCCACTGCAATTGGAAAAAAAATTGCATGTTTTTAAATGCATGCAGCACAGCAATAATAAGTTATCTTCTATATCACAGCATATGCTGGGCTTTTGTTTATAACGCATCTTCGGCAGTGAGTTAAGTAGGCTTTAATGTTATGTAGGCAGAAACAATATACTGTAATTTATGTAAACTGTATTATCTAGACACAGAATAGTAAATAAATATGGTTCTGCATAAATACATAGTTAAATTTAAATTTATTATTGCCGACTGTGCTTCTATTTATAAAAGCAGTTAAGTCAACCTGTCAAGCTACGGTGAGATAAAAGCACAAAGAAGATAAAATTAATGCAAATGGTCTTTAATAAATCCACACAAGGGTAAATCCAGGACAGAACAGACAGGAGCACACATAGGGATGTACTTGACTGGACAAACACAGACTGCACAGACTAGGGCTTATATACATGCGATGACGAGGAAAATGAACAAGACACACCTGAACCAAATGACACAATCAAACATGAGAGAAAACCAGGTCACGGAGCACATGAGGGAAACAGTCCAGGGGTGTGACACAACCATATTATTAAGTCTTTATGCATTATGGCGTTATGATTAATAATTACATTGTTGTTCAACTAAGCAATGCACTGCATATTAGGGGTTGCACCGACTAACCGACTAATCAACTTCAATGCTCTGCCATGACGCTTTAAGCTTGACGTCGACTAGTCGCTGGTCCTATAGAGGGCGCAACAGGATAAGAAATCTTTGAAGGACTTCCACATTTACGCTCCGTTTACAAACAGTTAAAATGACAAATAAATGCATACTCTGAAAGCGCTCCATAAGACATGTGTGATTATATTACTGGATGCTCGAAATTGAACGGGATAATGCACGTTTTAAACAGCTTATTGTACAGGTAAGTTAATCGCCGTTCTAATCTAATGCGCTGCTGCACTGTAACGCACACACATAGGCTACAGACAGTAGCGCGTACAGAATCATTCAACGCGGAAATGTTCTGTGATTTCTCAATAAAATAGCTTAGAAACTGAAAAGTTCAAGCATATATTTCTTAATAACTAAATTCCACAGCTTCACTACTAGTAGAGAGACGCTGCCAGGTAGAATTAATTCACACACGCAATCGCTCTCACTAATGCATTCATATTAATGTAATCTTTACTGTGCTACTTTATCTGTATCTGATTTAGAACGAGCAGAAATCTGAGAGAAATATAACGACCCAAAGACAAAAAAACTGATAAAAAAGCTAGGAGCAATAGCCATGTGGGCAGCGCTGTGTCATATGCCATAGCTGTGCACAAGGTGTTTGTCACAGCTCCAGACGTATTTGTTCATTAATGACGTCATCAGCGACTAGTCGACTTCGACTCGACTTTCATCACATAAAAATCGACTTCAAAAAAAACAGAAGTCGTTCAACCCCTACTGCATATATGTGTCAATATGTAAAAATGCTTTTAGGTTCAATACTAGCTGGTTTCAGGTATGATTCATGTATTTGCTATATTTAAAGATGAAATAGAACAGGTTAAATGAATGTATAGCACAGCTCTCACTTAATCCTAACCCCTTACAGCGCAGACTAACCACCATAACACACACACACACACACAAAGCTAATCTGTAGAAGCAAAGCTACCCCTTGTACCCTTGACAGACTGAATGAAGACAAATGGCGTTCATGACAAGATTCAGAGCAGATGACCCACCTTCGGCAGGCTTATCTGTGAAAAAAAGACATACTGAGAGTGAGTCTGACTGCTTTTAAATGATTAATTTAATCAAACAGATTATAAACATTTAGTAGAGTAAAGAGATACAAGTACAAACCAGCAGGTGGAGCTTCCACCTTCTCTCCCTTGGCACCTGAAACAAATGAAATTCATAATCACAGTATTCAAAAGGGGTCATGTTAAAGTAAACGTCAAAACTGCTATCTCATATTAGTTTTGTTCAGTACTGTGCAAAAGTCCCAGGCCATTAATATTTTCACCAACAAAAAATGGTTTTAAACCAGTTATTTCTTTCTATCTTTAAAGTGTGTCAGTAGGTAATATCAGTTTACATTCCGTTTGGAGTCTGACAACCAGTCCACCTGGAATCACATGAAGAAACAGACAAAATCCAGAAGAACTGTGACAACCTCTCCAAGATGCTTGAAGCATATTTCAACAGCATACCGGCTGTTGTCAGACTCCTTGTGCATACAAAAATATCACTGGATTATTACAATTAATAGCAAAAATAATGTTCAGAAATGTAAACTATACAGTATATACATGTAAATGTAAAATATACAGTATAAACACATATGTAAATCATGAAACTGAGCAGGTAAAGGGTAAAAAATTCTACATGACTCAGAGCAGAATCAGAACAATAAATAAATGTATAAACACTGATTATATATGCACATAACAAAACACTTATGAGATGGCCTAACCTATTTTCAGGGCTGCATGTAAAAAACAAATAATAATAAAATCATTATATGGAGTAAGGCCTGAAAGTATTTTGGAGTGCAGGCATCCAAGCCTCTCCTCTGGTCTACAGTAGGTGTAAACAGCTTTGCTACATCGTACCACCGTCACCTTCCAAGTCGCAATCTTGGCTTCAAATTGACTCTGGACCTGGAAGGAGTGGTCGGACCTTCACTATTTAGTATTAAGGATATGAGACACCGCACCTGGCCTCGGCCCTGAGGGTCAGATTGCGTGATCTGCTTGCATACCGAAGTACCGACACGTCTATTTTTGATTAGGTTTGTCTTTCAGATTGCAATATGTTAATGGGCCTCAGGCACTTCTGGTATATCTCCTTGTCCCAGAGGAGGAGCGGGATGTGGCGATCCAGCAATTTGTAAATGCTTCCCCTGCCTCAGGATCTAAGGAGCTGGCTAAGATGTCCACCCGAAAAAGGACAGAGCAGCGGGTTCATCACACAGCCGAAGGTCACGACTATACACAAACAGGGACCTGTAACAACTCTACTGGGAAATTCTCAAATGCTCTGAGCAGCTCTCACCTTACCCTTGATTAATTGGCCTGGCAGTGTTAATTTGCTTAGCTAAAATGTAGTTAAAAATCTTTGCTGAGGTGTAGGACCCAGTCAGCTTTTCATTAAAATGGCACTGTCCTCTTAAATCCATCGCTGACACCACTGCAATGCTGTGCATGTGGTTTGCTTTGGAAACCAATATAATACTCATGCTCTCGTCTGTTGAGCTCAAGTAAACATCTATTAATCATCTTTTATTTCCTTGGTAAATCAAGACAATATTGCCGGTTAGGAGAAATCTGGTGGTGATTTGAGCATCTAACTCACTCATTTATGTTTCGCAAAAGCAGTATCTTAAAATGTGTCTCAAAGTGTAACTGATGTGATATCATTGTTATCATTTTTAAGCAAAAAAAAGTATATATACTTATAGTTTTTTTTTAAATAAAGCTGAAATAAAATATAAATATTATATAAAACTTAAATGAAAATTAGAAATGTTTCCTTGGCAGATCAATGAAATAAGTTTAAGTATTAAAATTACTACACCTAAAACTGAAAAAAAATAAGAAAAAAAAGCACATAAACAAATTACTGAAACCTTTCATTTAAACAAAAACTGAAAATATAAAAATAAATTCTATTTCAAAATATTATTAAATACTACAGTATATAAATAATAATAAAATAACACTGTGCTATATTGAGACAGATAACTTTTCCTAATGATATTTTTTCTACCTAAATTCTCTAAGGGCTCCTGATCTCCTGCTCAACTCAACTGTTGGCTCTTCTCTGGTTTCCAGTCGTCAGCACTCTCTCCATCTTGCTAGTCTTGGTCCCTGTCACTGTTACACACAGTCACAGTGCTAAACACTAACAGACACTCACTCACACTCAACACAAACACACACGTTCTAAAAGTGTAGGTGAGGTAAGAAGTCAAATGGAGGCCAGTGTAGCCTGAATGCTAGTGCTAAAACACTAATGCAGATGAGATGTACAGTACTGCAGACTTAACCACCTTCACAGCAGCAGCGTTTTGATTGTTAACTAAAACTATTACAATTATTTTGGCAATTAATTTAAGTAAAGTTGAAATAAAATAAAATATAATATTATGAAAAACCTAAAGGCTTTTAGGCTGATAATACACAGGGCAACTTTCTGAGCAATTTTGCCGGGCAACAGAATGGGTAACAATTTTCTATCTGGATAGATCGGTTGTGGGCCCTGTGTCTCACCTGGTTGCCTGTTGATGGCAACATTAACTAAAGTTGCCCGGCAATGTTGCTCAAAAAGTTGCCCTGTGTATCATCAGCCTTAGACTCGGCTCTGAGGGTCAAATTGGGTGATCTGCTTGCATGACGAAGTATTATTGTTAACTAAAACTATTAAAATTATTTTGGTATTTAATTTAAGTAAAATTGAAATTAAATAAAAAATAATATTATGAAAAACCTAAAAACATAAACAAACATTAGAAATGTTGCCTAAAAAAAAAAAAAAAACATGAACACTGACACAGAAGCTAGGATAGGTGTGGTATGTGTTGGGTATGTGTCATTATTACATTATTATTATTACTATTGTTATTACATCATTATTATTATTATTACTTTTATTATTATTGATATTACTCTTGCAGTCATCACAAGGTATTATTGTTATCATCACTATCTTTAGTATTATTATTATTATGCATGCTGCTACTACTTAAATACTACTACTATTATTCAGATTGTCATTGCTGTTTATTTTCATTGCTGTTATTATCATTGCTGTTCTACTGCTGTTTTTGTGTTTTGTGTTCAGCGTATGTTATATGTTTTGCACTCTTAATAAAAAAAAAAAAAAAAGAAATGTTGCCTCGGCCACTAACTCAAATAAGTACGTTTAAGATGAAGTATTAAAAGCTAAAGTAAAATTAAAATTATCTAGCCAAATATATATATATATACACATAACAATGACAAGCACATAAAAATGACTAAAAATAAACTAAAATTAAAAAACTGTATATTCCAAATATTAATGATTTTATAATAGTATATGAATAATATTAAAATAACCCTCTCATTTATATTATTTTTTTTCTCTGAAAGGGACATCCATGGATAAAAATAATATGGAAGCCCTTTTGCAAGCCTCTTTCCTTCTCCTCAAAACAAACAAATAGATAAATAAATAAATTACAACTTTAAAATCACACAGTCTAACAGATTTCTTTGCGATTGTGACTTTATATCTCACAAATTACCTTTTTTATTTTTTTTACACTGAGGGAGTGAGACATGGACTTTCATAGGAAGACAGAAAGAGAGCCAGACAGAGATAATCAGAGATGGACAGAGTTTAATGTGGTCGTGTTAAATTAGCACGGAGCAGACTCGGATATCTAAAAGTACGCTTCATAAACAACATATGAGAAAAGTGTAAACGAGTGGTCTAATGCCCTCTCGTCTCCTATGCCTCTCTCTGTTTCGATAATGTGAATCCATTTCCATAAATACAACATCTACAATTACATATATCTCCATCCTCACATACTCCATATATAGTCTGGAGAATATTTAAATTTTTATGTCGCTATTCATTTCTGTCTGATCCAAACATGGAAGGTCCTACGTTGCTAATCCATGGTTGTTTCAGAGATGCCATCCCCCACTGGCCCCTGGGTCACACAGCTATTCTGAAACCTAGCAAAACAAACCACACGATGCCCTGAAATTGAGAGCAGGCTGAAATCCAGCATCAGCATTTGAAACTATATCGTATTTGTGGCCGTACTCAGAATTTGCTTACTTTAGTTACATTAGCTTACAGCGCTAGTACTCTCTCCTTCCCTTTGCTGACAAATCACTCTCTACTCTGTGTTCCTCTCTCTCTCTCTCTCTCTCTCTCTCTCTCTCTCTCTCTCTCTCTCTCTCTCTCTCTCTCTCTCTCTCTCTCTCTCTCTCTCTCTCTCTCTCTCTCTCTCTCTCTCTCTCTCTCTCTCTCTCTCTCTCTCTCGTCGCTTCCTCACTCTATTTGGCCAACTAACCTCTGTGGAATGTTCACGAAGCTAATCTCTTATGACATTTGCTTCACTACTTCTCTATATCTCTTTCTTCACCAAAGGTAAAAGTCTTTTTTGAGCCAAAAGCCTCCCGACTAATCAAAATACAGATGTGATTGAGGACAATTCAGTTCAGGTTGTCTAAAAACAAACGAGAGAACATGTCATATAATAACACACACAGCTGATTTCAACCATTTTGACAGGCCAATGGAGGAAGATAGACTTTCACAACATTGTCAAGTCTGAAAGCAGGGGCCTCACTCCGAGTGGCCTTGAGTTAACATGTCGATCCTCACCACCCTGCGCTAATGTCGACAAATGCCCTTCGCATATCAGCACATATATGCTTCCAATGCACTACGACTTGTCACGGTGTTATACAAACAAAACCTGAAAGGATGTCTGAGTGTTTAGAGTCAGACTCAAATGTGTTTCAAGTGTGACTAATGCAAAAAAACTGTGATCTCTGCCCTTCGAAAGCGCAGCCTACTGTTATTTATCCTATACGGCCAATCCAATCCCAAATGAATGTTTTAATCTGTCAACAAATTAGGTATGGGCACAAAATGTATGAATAACAGTAACAATTACAATTAAGATAATTGTATACAATATGTAATATATCTTGGTCTGGATCTGGGTCTTGGTTAATGATCTCAAACTTTTCAGCAAGCTAAAAGGAACCAGTGTAGTCAGATTTACGAATGACTCCTTTTAGGGAATCAAAAACAAAGCACAAACAGTGTAGTTCCAGTCACAAGCAAATGACTCTTATGAGTTGATTCTCTTAGTGAATCATTCACAAACTTTCTATACACTTTCTTGGGAGTTTATAACTGAAGTGCCCATAACGTAATAATTGTATTCATTGATTTCTACAACAAATGCAATTTAAAGTTATTTCCGTTAGTATCCACAGCATTAGTTTCTTTTTTTATTATTATAACTGTTAAATTAGTAATTGATCTGCTTATGTACTAGTTTAGAAAGATCCCTACATAATTTCTAACATTACCTGAGAGATCATTTATTATGCCTAAATATCAGTCTCATGACCAGTGTTGGGGAAAGTTACTTTTAAAAGTAATGCATTACAATATTGCGTTACTCCCTAAAAAAGTAACTAATTACGTTACTTAGTTACTTTTTATGGAAAGTAATGCGTTACGTTACTTTTTCGTTACTTTTTAAATCTGGACAGGGCTTGCTTGATTGTTTTTAAAATAAAAAAAGGTATATTTTTGGCAAATATAAAAGCCTTTTCACACCAAACGTGAAATGAATAAGCCTCAGGCTGAAGGGAAAGTAAATTTACATCCATACAGTAGAATGCAGAAGAAATTTCAACACACTTCAGCAATCAATGGTACAGTGCTATGTACTATACTGTACTGTATGTTCCACAAAACTACCATTTTTTGTTACAAAAGGAGCACTAGCCAACTTGCAATACAGTACATGTGATACAGTAATGTGATACGGTACAGTACTGTAGATACAGTCTGGAGTGGAGAGTTGAAGACATACCTGTTTTCCAGTCTGAATGTCCTTATGATGGATGCAACTGTGAACCGGCTTAGATGTGGGTGGACTCTCTGCCCAGCTTCCCTCATTGTCAGGCCATGATTTATCACATGATCCACCAACGTTGCTCTAATATCATCTGAAATATTGTTCCGTGCATAGCCTCTTCGACCATGTCCTACTCCTCTCTCTCTTTGTCTTCCTCTTCCTCTGCCTCTACCTCTTGCGCTCCCTGCCTCCATGCTTGCACAGTTCTCAAAATGGTTCAACTGAGGCCTATTTGTGGTTGGCTGATTGGTGTTCAGTTTTGTAAGTAAGTGTTTTCAGGTGTGTGTCTAAGTGTTTTCAATCACCCAATGTGTTTTGTATTTTGAATAGATGTGTTTTCCCAATGGTACCCGTGAGATTTCATTTATGAACGAAGTGTCTTATGTATGAAATAGTGTGTAGTGTGCAGGAGCAAGTGTGTTGCAGAATTGCAACTGAAGTGCAAAGCAGCGCTTTTGTTTAAGGTATGGTTACACTGTGTTTAAGGTATAGTAACAAAAGCTTCAAGTTTTGTTACTTTGGTCTAAGCATGTGTCTATAGTGTTCAAGCAATAGGCAAAAACTGTAAGATATTTTTGATGAAATCCGAGAGCTTTCTGGCCCTCCATAGACAGTAAAGTAACTGAAATGTTCCTAGGTAAATAGTCCATGTGACATCAGTGATTAAACCATAATTTTACAAAGCTACGAGAATACTTTTTCTGTACAAAGAAAACAAAAATAACAATTTTATTCAACAATTCTTCTCTTCTGCGTCACCATCCTCCACCATTACGGACAGCACCACGATGCATGCGTGTGCATTCCTCTGCTCGTAAACAAGGCGCAGAACATGCATGTTCTACATCAGCAGCAGCATACGCATGTGTCGTGATACTCTTGATAAAGTCATTAAACACAGCCTCCAGAGCAAGGCATCGACGAATAGTAATTTTCTCACCATAGGCCCCGCCCACTGGCGTTCACTTGCTTAACATCTGACACTTGATTATGCTGAATGTGAGTGTTGCGTTGCCGTCAAAAGCAAACAGAAATTACAATCACTGCCGCTATCTTGTCTACTCTGGATACAGTATAGAGATGCACATTCGCTTTCTGACACAGTCCATGTCCTTGAGTCATGACACATGGAGATTAAGAACATTCGTTTTCGAGGTGTTTGGTTTAAACAGCTCGTTCGCATCTTTGTACAGATATTAGAAGAATCTCAGCATAAAGAACAGGTGGATAGTTTATTTTTGATGTGTCCTGGATCGTGTCAGAGGATTGATCAGAGCATTTTGTTTTGTAAACGAGACAAAGTGTCACGGAGAGCTCACAAAGAACATTTGTTGAAAGATGAAGCGGTACTAGATCTGACTGCAGCTGAATCACAATCCAGAAGTAAATGATTTCATAATGCTTTGTCTGGAAATGACACTCATATGCAATAGCGAGGGAGTGTTGATACTGTTTCCTATGCAATGATGTTAGCAAATCATAACAGTGGCCGATTCCTGACAAGCCTTAGAGGACACGCCCCTTAAAAACAGGACGTTTTAGAGAGAGGGTAAGAATCAGGGTTGAAAATAATCATTTGGTTTTTGTTTTTTTGTGCAAAAAAAAAAAAACTTTATTACCATTATAAGTAAACCTCATTGAACATATTAAAATAAAAAAAAATCCATGTCATGACCCCTTTAATGTTAAACCAATCATGTCACATGGACTATTTTAATGATGTCCTTACTACAATTCTGGGCCTTGAACATATCAGTTGTGTTGGTGTCAATGGAGGGTCAGAAAGCTCTCGAATTTCATCAAAAATATCTTAATTTGTGTTCTGAAGATGAACAAAGGTCTTACGGGTTTGGAACGACATGAGGGTGAGTAATTAATGACAGAAATGTCATTTTGGGGTGAACTAAAGGTCTTTGCACACTGAGTCTTTGCACACAAAATTTTCGCACGTTAAAAAATACGTTGTCAATCACGTTTACACACTGCCTCCGAAAATTTCGTCCATCATAAAAAAATTCGGATCAGGTTCTGCGTTTTCGTATCTGTAGCAAGCATTTTGATACGAAAAAAAATAAAAAAATAAAAAGTGCATATGAAAATTTCGGACTCAGTGTGCAAGGACCTGAACCCTTTAATTCTATTATTAACTAGGGTTTTCCTATTGTAAGGAGTTTGTTGAAACTGGCTGCTGGCCCTCACTTCAACTCTGATGCCGAATTAATATAACGAATTCCTTTTAAAATATTTCAATTTCAGGATAAACAGACTCTGATGGAAACAGCCTAGTGATATATGTAGTGTTTCTAAGGATATCACAAAAAAATCCCCTCAGGCTTCATTCAGCTCCTCAGATCCAGATTGAAAGCAGCTATTTTTACAAGCGGGGGTGTGATGGAGTGTCTTTGGCATTAGAAGTATTTGGAGTGGATAGAAGTGCGGGGAGGGTCGGCCGCACATGATGAAGTTTCCCCGTTTTATTAGGATGGAGAGAGTGATTCTTTTGGCAGCGAGAGGAAACACTTAAGAGAAACGCTACAATATCTATCAGTCTCTGCGTGACAGTACTGATGATTTGAGTTATGGAAATAGATCGTAAATATCTCTTTCCTACATACATGAAAAGATGAGGTGGTGAGGATAAAGATGAAGATTGGGGAGATCGTGACGCAGAAACAGTTTGATCACGAACATCTGATCTGAGCATATAAATAAACTGGTTGCTATGGGTCATGCTGTGTATGTAATCACAACCAATATAATTTCTAAGAATAGTTATAATTTTACATGAATTTGTCAAACTGAATATCACTTCAGCTGATTCAATAAAAATATTTACATGAGCTGAAGTTCAAACATGATTTAAAATAAAATATTTAATCAAAATGATTCTCTCTCCCTGTATTTATGAACTAAAGACAGGCTATCATATAAAATAAATGTCAAAAGGTGTGGTTTATGGTGTGATGATGTTGAGATTAATTATGGCCTCTTTACTTCCTGACAGTGATCTCTTTATCTTTTCCACTCTCAGGATAGCACATTGCATTTTTAATAAACCAAGCAAAGTTGTAACTGAACTTGACAGCCAGTGATCATCATGCATTCAGGAAAAGAGCACATTAGACATTTTAACTCATTTTGTTTTTTTATGGGGAGGAACAGAAGTTTTGAGCAAGTTTTTGAGGACGAAGAGATGATAACGATTTTTCACAAATATAAATGTATTCATTTTTTCATCAAATGTAAAGGATCATTTACATTTCTATTTGCTTGACAGAAAATGTTTAAAATATGTATCTAATATATAATGTTCAGTGGAAAAATATAAAATTTAATTAAATTATATGTGCGAAAAATGTCAAATGAATAATATACTTTTAAATAATTAAAAATAAATGTTAAATATAAAAAATTTAAAAAATGTACAAAACTTAAATCATTCAAAATTTTAAAAAATGATAGTAAAAAATGTATTAAAAAATATGGAACAGGACAAGCAATAGTTTGGTCAAATGTCCCGAAACTCTTTCACATTTTTCCCAGGTCAGTGGGCCATCCTTACTGTTGAGTCATGCAAACACTTTAATACTTACACTACTCATGCAATTGAATTATTAAGGATACACGTTTTCTTTTGAAAGTTGCATTAGAAATGTGTTAAATGGGCATGTTGCTTCTACATAAATGGAAATTATTTATACTGTGGGTGCTGAGATTTTGGGCGGTGAAGGAAAGGTTGACGATTTAACAGAGATAAATAGATAGAAATTAGCACAGTGGGTTTGTCGGGGCGCTCGAGGAGATTTACCTTCCTGCCGAGTTTAGTTCAAATCTAATCAAATACTCATGAACCAGCTAATCAAGGTCATTGGATTCTCTTGAATATTTCATGATTCCAGATCTCCAGGAGGAAGACTGAGCAAAACTGGTGTGTGGAATATGCAACAGGGTTTATGAATATACTCATACAACGATATCAGGTCATGCAGTACATATCCCATTACATACGTTAAGTTGGAGGACATATTCTAAAACACACAAAAAGCAAGCGCTCCCACATCTGTGTGTGATCCATCATGAAGGAGATGCATGAAAAGGAGTGCATTGTGATGTTAACGGGTATGAGGTAATGCTACACTACCCCAGCTGGAAATGAGACATTGGATGTTAAGACACCTATCACTGTCACTGTTACTGTATGTGTGTGTGTGTGTGTGTGTGCGTATGTGTCTAAGGGGGGTTGGGGGATGGGATTACTTAGCAACATTTTCAGGTATACAAAACCTCCCTTTGGGGATGTCCAAAGATGCCCTCAGTTTGGAAAAACAATTCATACATAAAATAAAGTTGTATAAACATATGCATCAAATTTTGGGGTCAGGGTTGGTTTTAGTCAGTATCTATCTATCTATCTATCTATCTATCTATCTATCTGTCTATCTATCTATCTATCTATCTATCTATCTATC